CCATTGCATGAGTGGCAACACATGTGTTTGCAGGATGTCATGGACATACCACTGGGCTGTCAAAAGTGCCACGGACCAATACTAGGGGTGACCGTGTATTGTAGGAAATGGCCCTCCATACCATCACACCACTAGTGGGAGGGTTTGTCGCTAAAAATCAAAGGCAGGTTGGCCTTTTCCACGGGTTCCCCCGAACAGATTTCCCAAGTTTGAATTTTTCGAGCAAAAGCAAAGTTTTTCCCCGCTTCCCAGTTTCCTCGGGGCAGTACCCTAAAACGGATTTTTCATGGGGGGGACGGGGCACACGTAATGGGTGGGGATCCCAAATTCCTTAAACCAAAATTTTTGGTTCGAAAACGGGGGCCCAATAAAGGTGCTACCTTGCCTGGATGGGGTCGAGAAGGTTGGGTCTTTTGCATTTCTTACGATTGGCGGCCAGGGGCGTCCGAGCCTCGTCTTGGGAAATGACATCTCTCGGAATGGGCCCAACCCCTAAAACACCAGGTGGCCTTTTGACGGCTACTCGCCAACGACCCCCCTTCCATCTGCCGTTGTTCTCCTTAAACTCACCTCTCATTTGTCTTTTAAAACGGCGAAAGGCTTTCGCCCCGGCTTAAAACTTTCGTAAACATTCAAACCTCAAAAAGTTTGGTTTTTTTTTTTTTAAAGAACGAAAACGCCCCCCCGGCTATCAAATGCCAATCCGCTTTTTTAATGTCTCCCCGGCGTCCCCTTCATGCAATTTCTTACGTCCGCTTTTTTTTTGGGCGCTAATTTTTTTCCTGGTGTTTTAAAATACTCTTCAGAGGGGCGAAATCAAGGGAAACTGAAAAAATGAAACCTAAAAACGATATTCTTTAAAAGTAAATTTTTTTGTAAAACTCTGAATTTAGAATTTAGTTATTCCTTTCAAATTCGGTTCATTTGTTTTATAACTTCAATTTTATTTTTTTCTTTTTTAAAAAAAATTTTTCTCTGGTATTTTTTTTAAAAAATTCAAAAAAAAAAAAAAATTTGATAAATTTCGTTAGGGGGGAAAAACCCCTTTGTTTTTTATTCTTTTTTTAAACCTCATATTCAATAAGTAATAATGCATGAACTAAGGTTAATAAAATGCATGTGAACTATAGTCTTAGCAAACGACGTATTGCCATTACAATGTGCATTATTCCTACTGCAGTCTTTCGTGAAATGACAAATATTGTTTGGGTAACGAACACCGCCTTTCTTGTAATTAAATTCAACGAAAAAATGTGGAATCTTTGCATATCTTTTACTATCACGAATTTTCTTAAAAAAATCTTTTTTTCTAAATGAGTAACTAGACATATTTTGCCCATTTCTTTTCCCCATTTTCATAAAAAAATAAACGGAAAAACAGTAAATTTTCATAATGATAGAGTGAAAAAAATACAAACAAACATTTAATCGAGATAAATGAAAGACGTGCGCAAAAATGTCTTGAAAACAGACATGTTTTTACAAATGATTGAGCTAATGCATCCGAATGCACTTTAAAAATGATAAACACAGATATTTATAAATATTGTAAGCAGACGATAAAATATGTTTGAATTCCAGTGAATCAAAATTCGTTAAACTCTTTCAAAAAACCCCCTTTATCATTGAGGGCCCAAAACGATTATTTCTTCATAAGCCGAAAATTCGTTCCCATTCGTAGACGAATGGATAAATTGAACGCTGATTTGATTTCATTCAACATTGCATAGATATTGTGTTTCCATTCATAGAGAGGAACTTGATATGATAATTCAAAGTAAAATGAGACCAATGAGTGCAATAAATAACATTTGATGACCCCTTATGTGTTAAAGGTAGGGATTTTGGATGCTGGCAGGATTCAAAATGTTTTAACACGGGGGGAAAAGACCCGGACGATTAACACGTTGTAGTTTCGGGGGGGACACAGTCACCCCCAAACATTTTATAATTATTTTTTTTTGTTTCGATAAAAATCAAATTTTAGTGATTAATTTATGAGGGGAAATATACTTACCTATTTTTTTAAACTTTTCAATTTTTTTTTGATACTTTTAAAAAAACAATTAATAAAAATTTTAAAAATTTGTATTAATAAATAATATAAATCAAGACCTTTTTTTAAATTAAAATATATTTCAGGGAAACTGTCATTTTTTTCAAATATTTATTTTTTTAAATTTTAATGATCGAAAAATAAAACTTTTTTTTTTGGCAACCGGGGGGTACCGGGGCTTCATATAATTTTTTTTTGGGTTTTTTGATTTTAAAAAGATGGTAATAGGGGAAAAAAACAAATTTCCCCTTTTTACTCAAAATTTTTTCAAATTTTTCGTTGTTGTTACGCCCCTTGGTAGCGGTGGGTTTGGGCCCGGGCCTGACTTCGTACACTTTTAAAAAAACAACCCGCAAAGGGGTCGTCTGCTAAAAAACCCACGGGGTCCGGCTTCGAGGATGTGACGGCGGCCCCTCAAAAATTTTTCAATTTCAAAGCTCTTACATCCTTGGAAAATTTCTTGTTTTTTAAGTTGGCCACTTCGAAAGCGGGCTAGAAGAGTTTGATCCTGTCTTTTAAAACCGTGAGCCAGAGAGCCTCCAGGACGAGAACACTGATACCAATGGTGCTCTGGAGGGACAATCCAAAGGGTCTTATTCTGGTGTTTAGTTCTAGAGAAAATCTCCAAAAAGGTGAGGGGTGCCGACGGCTCTGGTACCTCGCAAGCGCCAGCCTTGGCCAAAGTGTCCACAACTCATTCCATCTAGATCTACGCGAGAGGGGATCCATTGCAAATGAATTTGAATTTACTTTCGTTATCATCATTACTATCCATTATTTCATTAGATTCTTCCTCTGCTTGATCAATTTCTTTTAACGAAGTTTGAACTTCATCCAATAGAGATAACAGATGCCCATTTCTTTCATTATATTCTGTTCATTTACATTTATAAACCATAATGAGTCGTACAACTCAACAATCAAATCCACTAAATCGTTCACAGAGGAATAATGTAATTTGTTCATACAAAATACTTTGGAACAAATAAAGTAGCGTGGGAAACTCAATCACCCCAAGTACCTCAAGTTTGTTAAATATATATATATAAAAAAAACGCTTGCCACTCTCAAAAAAGAGTTAGATATGTGACAAAGACAATTTAGTCCTTAAAAGTATTGTCAAAAAGGAGGATACTGATAAGATCATTGGTTACAAACAGTTTTTCTAAAATTAAAAATTTCGTGAGCCTGGAGTGACTCAGTGCTCTGCGCGACCCCTCCCTGGTTAATGAACTAATTATCAGTGAAAAGTTCGATCGAATATCAAGCCAAAGTTTGATTGATATCCAAATCTACTTTTCTACTTCTTAAAGTTCTTTCACTGATGGTATCTTCATAAACCAGTAATAACCTCCGAACCTGGGTGATCCCTTGTGTCTAGTAGTTATGTCACGTGGCTACGGACCCAGTGTCGCGGGTTCTGTCTTCAAATATGCCGACCCCCCTACAATTTGTTACCCACTTTATCGAGCAGATGGAAGTTAATTTTCCAGACCTCTGTGGAATGTATACTTAAAGGACTGTGTGAATTATGTATTCATTGTAAAGCGATAATATGCAGTCATATATATTATTTCTTCAAGTACAAATATAGCTTTTTTAGGATAATCCAGAGTAACTCTTTAGGATTATCTCAGCTGCAGTTGTTCACAGCATAAGCACTCTATCCCAGCATTTCTCAAACTGTGGGGTGCACCCTTTAGGGGGGCGCGAGCTTAAGGAAAAGTCGGAAACAAAAGATTATTTTCAAAAAAATATTAATTTACCAAAAGTAAACAAACAAAACATATTCTCACATAATAAAAGTAAAATACACATTTACACTGATATAATACTCTTATAAATGTAACAGTACTGCTCAATGTATTTTATAATTAATTTAACAATACTAAATTAAGAACAAGTTTAATAATTACCAGTGACCCCATGGGCTCTTGTTCTATTTAAATTTATATACAAAAATTAACATTTCTCTTGATAACTTGAACGGTTTTGTAATGAATCCCTTAGATGCCGATTAAAAATTACGTGATTCCCTCTCCAATGCCACCGTTTAACACATATGCGAGCGCATGTTGGGGTAGGGGGACGGTAGAAAAGTAATAAATATGCAAATCCTCTGAAATAAATAAATCCGCCGCAAACACTGTCGAGGTCCTTTTATAGCATTCCGAAGTCTTCGGAATAATTTTACGGGTAGCAGTGCATAGAAAAGCTTCGGAAATACGTACATATACGTCCGGGGCAATTAACGTGCTGGCTGAGAGAGACGTTTATAGACACCGATGGCACTTAAAAGGTTGAAGTCATATTGTAGGTTTAGCCTCAAAGTATATTATTATTGGATTCAATACTTTGTTATTGTATGAAGGGGCGCGACGAAAATTATGATTGAATATTGGGTCACAAACATTGGAGTTTGAGAGTTTACTCATACCCTTTACCCTTCTACAGCTGTTAGACGTAAAACACTCCTTAATGTATTAAATACTTGTAGTAACCTTCACAATTAAACTGATTCCTTTCTGCACCCTCTAATTGTTGTTCATGCTGTAAAGGTAGTTATTTTGAATGTTAGCAAGCGATTATAAAAATACAACTCAATCCAGTAAAACACAAACTTAAAAATCTAAGTAGCTGCTACACTTTTGTACCTTAAATAAACAAGTAATATAAAAAAAATCAATTCCTATTGAGGTCAACAAAGAAATTTTTATTTTATAGTTCTTATTAAATAGTTACAATTAATATTAATATGTATATACATAGGACAGAATCACAATATTAAGTGACAAAATAGAAAGCGATTTTCTTTGCCCTTTTCCGTTTTCCTTTCTATATGTCGCGTTAGACTATTTTTTGTTTGTTTATTCATTAATTAAATTTAGTTATTCTTATAAAATAGTATAGTAAAAAAAAAGAAATCATATTCTCAGAAAAAAGGCCTTTCAGGTGGGATTCAAACTCACGACTTTTGAATTCGAAACCCAATGTGCTATCCATTGCGCTACAAGGACACAACAACCGATTTTCTTTCTATATATACTGATGGACTATTATTTTTATTTGTTACTATTTATTCATTTTTTAATTAAATTAATGGATTAATATTTGAGAAAATGGGTTAACATCAAGTGTCATCCAATACAAGTTTAAAAAATGTATTCGAACTTGAATGGATGAAAAAAAAAAAGATTTTATAAACGACTGAAAATTTGAACAAGATATATATACATATACCAATGAACCAATTCAAACAATATGAAAAGAAATTTAATCGTTACATTTCTTTATTTTTAATGAAAATAAAATTACGTAAAAGATATAACACATGATAAAAACGAATTTTAAGGTCTGTGGACTATAGAAATGGGTGAAATACATTCATAAATGACATTTAAGTGGATTGCAGAAAGTCTTGGTATTTAATAAAATAATCGTATCAGTAAAATTAGATCAGCTGCATGAACGTGCACGAATACATAAATAACTACGTTGAAGTAAATGAATTTCTGCAGACTATTCCACCACATGATTTTTAAATGAAAAAGTTACTTCATGCGTATTTCGTTTGCGCTCGAAATATTATTTTGTAAACTTTTGAGACGTTAAAAGTGCATTTGAATAAAATGTGCATTCATTACGGTGGAAATATTAGCTTTACGATTTGCATTATTCAAATTTTAGCTAACTTCAATTCAATAACCATTTATGATTGCGACATAGCGTTTTCGATTTCCTTGTAAAACCATTATGGACGTTTTTGTTACTAAATTTTCTATTTGGCGATTATCATTGCTTTAAGAAAGTTAGGTCAGATTAATTTTTAAAAGTATCTTGTGAATCTGATTTTTATCATAAATGACAATTAATCTTCTTAAACATCCCACCTAAAATAATATAATATAAGGAATGCATTTATGTATGAACTTGTGTGTACCATACATTTATGCTTACGCATAAAAAATATTTTTATAAAAAGTATTACACATAGTAAAAACAAGTAGGAATCAGATATGAATTTAAGAAAATTCATATCAAACACTTATAAATTTTCTCCATATTTACTTTTACTACAATAGTTCAAAGAGGTCTTTTTTAATGTTTTCATGATATGAATTAGCATTGGATGATACGGGGAAGACTTTATTTTATGAGTGGTATTAAATTTTGTAAGGTTTGCCTGTGGCGTTAAGGAACTATGTAGGTGGCGCGGCCATCGAAATCGGAGAGAGGAGTACAGTACAACATGGCGAGAGGAGTGGAATGGCGGTTACTTTCGCGAGCATGGTAGCAAAATGATCTTAACTAATTAAATGTATCGTAGTTAGTTTTTGGGTTGTTTTGTGTTGTGTGTGTGTGGCTGTATTTGGATTAATAAATATTTAGCCACTAAAGATAGCCTGACTTTATTGTGCTTTGTGAAAAAATGGAACTTCAGTTAAACAAAGAACCTACAATCACAAATCAAACATAATTAGTTTCTATTTTAAGTGGTTGATAATTTTACCCTATTTGGGCTCATACATTAACATTCTAAACGACATTGGTGATGAAATTAAAAGACGTATTATTGCTGCTAATCACTGCCTTCAAGGTCTAAACGCTTTTGAAAGTCAATACTAATTAAAAGACACACAAAAATGACTTTTTATGAAACAGTCATTAGGCACGTACTTACCTATGATTCTGAAATTTGGAGTTTGACTAAATCACAAACTGAACAGCTGGCCATCTTTCATATCTTTGGTACTGTGAATGATAGAATGGATTGTTTAGACAACAAGGGTGTAGTATATAATTCTTTATATACTGAATAATTCGGGGCTAGGGATTGCAATTACGTTATTTCAAGCCATTTGTACAATTTTGTAATACCGGTATTCACAAGTTTAAATACCGTTTTTTCGGTATTTACTAGAATTTTTTAAAAATTGTCTCCATTATATGTTCAGGAATCGCCGATATAGTAAAGTAGTATACGTTTTTTTTATTTTTATGTCACTCTAACGTGCGGAATTAATTAGACAGAGCATAAAATTGCACCGTACAATCAAGAGAAGTGATAAAATATGTGAATCATCCAAGGAGGCAGGCCAAAACTATCCTAATACACCTTAAAGGGATACTACACACGCTCAGGCTTCGTAGTCGTCTGATATTTGTATCTGTAAAAACAAGGTTGTAGTTGTGATGAAAGTGTGTAATATTTCGATATTTTTTTGAAGAGGTGAGTATTTGCATATCATACAGGACAATTGATGTATTGTTTTTTAAGATCACATTTCAAAAATTTATAATTGTTCCAGAGACTGAATAGTGATATTTTAAATATTTTATGATTTAAGTAAATAAGATGTTCCTCTACTTTTTTTGTGATTCTTTATATACTGTTATAATTTATAAGTTATAAATTATTTTTTGTGATATTTACACTCTCTATTAAAACTGGCAAATAAAACAAAGAAACACCTTTGTTCTCTTTCTTTTTCTAAAATTTCTACAACCGGTATTAAGATCTAAAAAATACCGAAAACAGGTATTGAACTTTTGGTCCGATATTGCAATCCCTGTACGGGGCCCCAACTACAGTCACTCTAACAGGGCTCTCATACCTAAAACAGGACCACTAAGAATTTTTGATACAGGACCCGCTCAGTTTTGCCAGTAGAAGACAACGATGTAACTTCGAATTGTACAAGCTATTTAAGGAAGCAAATGCCTTTAAATCCTTCAAGATTGGTCATTTGTAGTTTGCGGGCCACATCTCCAGTATGGACCCCTCATCCTTGACGAATAGAATTTTCTACTACTAACCTGTTGGAACTAAAACTAGGGGTAGGCCGAAAGTGAAATTGACTGATAGTCTTAAAAGTCTTTTAAAGTCTTAGAGTAACTAATTAGAGAACTGTCACTAGGGTTCTTAGGAAGGCATTGGCCCACTCAGGGCTGTTGTGTCCAATAGATGTTAAGTTCCTTTTTAGAATTAAGATTCATTAAAAATTTCGTATAATGTTTTCATTTTTATTGAAAGTTTATTTATTATATAGATATGGAGATTTTTTTTTTTACTTGCAAGAATTGTGCCCCTATTTTTGACGAAAATGTATCAAATGTTTGGCATTCTTAGCAAAAATAATTCAATTAAATTGAGTATTATACTTGATGATTGATTTTTTTATCCGTTTTTAAGTGAAATTGGAAACGTCTGTCTCTCTATATATACTGAGAATGTTAGATTGGCTATTTTCGATGTATCTTTTCTCAAAATCTGTTATATGTACATGCTTGAAATTTTTCATACAGGTAATGTATACCTTTCTCATTATACTTAAATGAGCTTTTAGCTAATTTTGAATTTTTTAATAATTTATGAAATATTTTATTAAACATTGCGAAATTCGACCCATTTTTCAATAAAAAACTTTTAAAAAATAAATTTTTGATATTTTTACCTAAAGCTCATATCAGTATATATTAGCCATCATTATAAATGTATCATATAAAATGTACATACCTGTGAGCAGTAGTTCCTCAAAAAAGGATTTTAGAAATATAGTATTTGTTTTAGTAAAAAATTACATTTTGATAGAAGATAAACTAATTTTTGAATAATATTTAGACACTATCTTTCATAACTTAACTGATATTTAAAGTTTTCTAACTCTACCAAATTTTTTAAAATAAAACGGAACTTAAATGAGCTTCTAAAATTCTATACATATGAAAAACACTTAAACTTTTTTTCTAGTGAAAATACTTCAAAATTGAAATTTAGAGCTCAATATAGAAATTTTTTGAGAGAATTCGATCTTCAATAAAACTTCAAAAAGTATTTAAAATTTATTCAAAAATATTTAACTTATGCGTGTGCGCTTCAGCACGTAATTAAGGGATAAATTTACACAATTTTTAAACTTACAAGGATACTAAAACGTATTATTTAACGATACTGATCAATAACAAACACTTTGCAGCTCTAAACATAGATTAAAGTTGCAAAATATGGGAAATTTTTATCAAAAAGAAAAATTGGATCCAATACTTTCCTTTCGAATAGTTCGATTAATAACTCTGGAAAGACTAAATTGGTACAAACAACCAACATGCGAAAATTGTTACCAAAAACTAATTTTAAAATAGAGAGATAAATTATGCAATTTACAATTCAGCTTCCTTTTTCTTTATTTAGAGGGTGGGTGTAAATTTCAAAGCCGATTACTTAAAGCTGAGTGGTAACAAGAACCCTTACTCATTATGAACATTTAGTTGACAATGCGTTTTTCATATTTTTAGCGATGGGAGCTTTCGATAACTATACTGTAAAGTGCTTGAAATGTCGATTCTTTCACATTTAATGAGCTGGAGCATGAGTAACTTTCACTCATCTGAGAATCAACATTTTTCACAGGGAGCTGTTAGTTATTGAAGTTAGTTATGGGATGCACATAAAAAATTACATTATTTATTGGTTAGCATTACTTTTGTAGCCTATTGACATAGATGTTTGTTTTGCTATAACTAACTACTTAACTCATCCGTTTTTAAAGAATTTTATAGACATGTTCATCATTCCAAATCTCTTAAATTTCGATTACGTTCCTTATTTGTAATGAATCATTTTAAACAGATTTACTGATATTTAACAAAAGTAATCTTATATAAAATCAAAATACATAAATGTGTAGGCACAAATGTAAAGTGCGTGTGTGACTAGAAGAAAAAGTGAAAACTTAAAACTAAATTAATTAGAATTGTTTTAAAAATTCAGATTAAAAACGAGTTTTAAAATTAACATAAATATTCATACAAAGTTAAATCAGTTATGTAAGTTATTTAATATCCAATAAAATTTAAAATGAAAGATTTAAAAGATGATGAATTTTTAAAGATATAATAAATAAAAGAATAGGGTTATTTTTTAAGTAGGAAGAAGTATGTTTACATTTAACATGGCATTTTACATGACTAATTTACATTTAACATGACATTTGCATGATTAATTTACATTTAA